TTTTTTACTATACTATATTGTAATGTATTGTATTGTAATATATTACAATACATTACAAGGTAAGAATACCTATAAATGTATTATAAGGCTATAAAATATCTAATAATAGAAATAAATGCTTATATAGGTATATGATATATTAAAATAAAGCTAAAAATCACGTGAAAAACTAACCTTAAAATGTGAATGTTAAGCGAGATATTAAGCTTTAAAGTTATATCTTAAAATAAAAAGTAAGTAAAGTAAGGCGAATTTTTAATTGCTTATAACTTTTTAATGTAATAACTTATAATAGTAAAAAGTAGGGTATTTTAAAGAGCTAATTTAGCTCTTTTTAATTGTATAAAATTATTCTTTATAACCCTTATAATTAGCCCTATAATCTTAAGTTAAAAAGAATAAGGGTATATTTATAGGTATTTTAAAAATGTAATGTAATGTATTTAAATACAATACACGAAAATACAACACAATATAAAATATAATACATAATACACTTGTATTTACTATATTTGTAAGAGCTCTAAATAGTATTAGTAGGTTGTAACGAGCGCTGTATTAAATTCGAAACCACCCGTAATATAACGCGCACACGAAGTTACCTGTAAAGAGGGACCAAGTGTCCCGGAGTTTTGTGGCTGTCCCGGAATTTTGTGGTCAACTAAGTGGCTGGCCCACTTAGTTGTCAACGGGTAGGTTCGGAAGATGTTCATGAAACTGGTTTCACGTACTGCGAGAGATGCTTGACAGTCTACACAAGCCACCCGCTGACAGAAGCGACTCGCAAGTAATGTAAAGGACTTGGAGGCTGTGGGTCAAAAGTTCTTGCACAAAGTCGTTCATGGGAGCGAAGATGACCTAAGCTTATCCTGAATAATGACAAGATCGCTCCACGATTTCTCCGCACCGGTAGCTTAGCTTTGACAACAGACAAGTTCATTGGCTGCGTGTAAGTGACGGCACCTGGGTTGGGGTTGGAGCATGAAGACTCAAGAGCCCGGGAATGAGTTGGTGAGGAAGTGAGAATGCAGATGGCAAAAGCTGGTCTGGTGTTGTGACACTCGGCGCTCGGCACTCGGCAGGCACTCGTTACTTGCCTTTGAGCACATGTGCTACATGTACGGGAACTTGATATATACCGGGTACCTAGGCTCTGAGTAAGATGCTGTTCCTTGTTTGTTTGAATATTCTACAACTTCAACGTCGGCTCCGAAGCAGCGACCATTCGACTCCCCCGAGGCCCCGGCAGCGTCAGCTCAATCTTTGAACCATGTACCTCTCTCACGCTATCGCGAGATAGCTTTGGACGGCGCGCCGCGACGAATCACCCAATCTTGCTAGCATGTCTGACGCATCGCGACGCGTTTATAGTGCATTACGTGGTATCTTACGGCTAAACACGGTGTTTCTAGGTGTAATGCTTGCACGATGCTTACATCATGCTTTAATTATTATCTGTATTGAGAAAAAACCAACCATATAAAAAAAATTAATGTACCTCTCTTACTCCAAAGTTGCATCAGCCAACGCGCTGCCAACTGCTGGTTAGGGCCAAGACACATGCGCAGTCGCTCGGGCAGTTGCTTGCAGCTGGCAGTACGACAAGACTGCTTCAGCACTCAGTGCTTCCTTAAGCGCTCCAGTGCTTCGGACCGACACTTGAGCAGTCACTGGGGGAATCACTTGACCGGACGGATAGAGCCAGGCGTCAGATCGGTTGGTGAGTCGAAACCACATGCAGGTACCGCTGTGAGTCCCCTAGTCTTTAACTCGCACCCATTTTGCCCAGGGCCGTTCAACTTGCAGATGTCAGACTCGAGGCTTGATAACTTGCAGACAAACTCCCACCGAGCAAACCATTTGGAGCAGTTGTGCATCAACCCGCCCTCGCAACATCATCGCCAATCGCCAGCGCCGTCGTCGTGTGTGGCCAGCACAATGGCTGTCATCACCAATGTTCCCGGTATTAGCATCACTGTCCATGTCAACGGAGAAGTCGCGCAAGAGTATCCTCCACATGATCCGACCGGCGAATGTCCGTCGAGCCCTCCATCGCATATCTGCTACATAGAGTCCAAATCGAACCAGAGCTTCTTAGTTAGGCTCACTCTCTCCCAAGAGAGGCAAATTTCCGAAGCGAATGCAATTCTGTTCACCGTTTTTATTGATGGCATGCTCGCTGGAGGGCGGATTCTATACAGTCGCCCAACTTGTCAGCTGAGCTCTCCCATCAATGTTGATATCAAAGACCAAATTATTCAGTCTCATGTGGCCGGGCATTGTATCCGACGATCATTCTCCTTCTCGCCCGTTTCTCTGGGTTTGTGCCTGCTGTGCCTTCATAATCTTCCATTTTGCGCCTTTGGGCTTTGATATCTGATGCTAACACGGTTCTTTGCTTTTACAGTGGAAGAGACAACTCAAGCGACGGTGGAACGCGACTCCAGAAGAGCCAAATCTCTAGGCTGCATTGTAGTCAACCTTGCGACCTGCAGGCGCGGAGCAACAAGGCCCTTGCAGCCTATGGTACCAAGCAGGAATTCTGACTTTGTCTTGGCCGAAAAAGCAATGAAGGGCAAGGAACTATCCCATGGGACGAGGTCAGTTATCAGTAGGTAAAATACAACTTGAAGCTTGACTGAGTAGCCCAGCTACACTGAGGAGATCCTCGCTCCGACCCCCAGCTGTGCGGACGCACATAACATTACACCTCTCGCCAAGTACATTTTTCGATACCGGTCTCGGGGTACGTCTCCGCAATGTTTGCTCAAATATGCCTGCATTTTTGGACTTTACTAAGGTCGTCCAGCTGCACTACAGCGGGAACTGATAATCCCCCAAACACCGCCTCCACCAGACGAGACATTTATTACCTCGGAACTAGGCTCCATGTCCGACGAAAATGTTCGATTCTTAGCGAAGGAGTTTCTCCGCGTTAAGCGGGAGAGGGAAGTAAAACAGGTATGTTAGATGGCCACTAGATCTTGTGTCCGTCATGACGTGGCATCTGCAATAGTCCACCGGTTGGCTAATTCTGGTCCAAGGAAACACCAGCGTTGAGCTTCAAGCGGACTATTGACCTTACCGACGACGACGTGGTTGAGATGACCGGACGTCACTCATTTAAGGCGCTTAAGCGAGAGGGTGACATTGATGTGATTGAGCTGTCAGACTAATCGTACGAGATGGGTGGCCACCGGTGACTTAGGACTGAAAAGTTAAATGCTGTGGGAATATGCTTCCGATAATACCTGTTCGGGTTCGGTCCAGGTCAATGAAATGTTTTAAGCAATTTCTCAGAGGGGATGGGGTTTGTTTCAAAGCAAAAATACTCCGACTCAGTGTAATCTGCCAGGGCGCCAATATCGACAGTCAGTATCTGCTGGGAATGAATTAGGGTCGTATCAGATATTGAAATGTGGCAGTCTGTCTTTTCTTCTTTTTTCATCCATAATAGAAAACATCCAGCATGTTTGACTTTTCATACATGAATCTCACGGTCAGCAGATACAGCTTCAAGTTTCTTCAAATAAATATTTCTAAAGTGGCTTGAGAAACGACACAGTCCAACAGCATTGGTGGTGTTGGAAGTTTGGACGTCGACTGTGCGGTCCCCCGGCCCCCCTGGTTGGTCGCTGCTCGGATGGCTGACCTCCACCTCCACCTGACCCTGCAAATGTCCCATAGATGTCAGCTCATGCATGACGTTTTGGCGGAAGCCGTCATTTTGATCCCAGCACCCCTGGCCATCACCTCTGGACGACGTCTCTCCATTTAGATATCGACGGCCGAGATGCCGCGTTTGCCATTGCCTGGTTGATTGCATGCTTCCTTCCCTCGCCGAGAGGCTCTCTGTATTGTCCTTTATTCCTCTTCTGCTTTGTCCGACGCAATGCCTCCCGACATATCCAGCAACATCCGCGTCTTCGTCCGCTGGCGCGACCAGACCGTCTTCGCCGGCGAGGACGTCAAATGCACCGTCACATTCAAGAACGTCGCCCCGACACAGAGCCAGCAACGGCAACAGCAGCAATCACAACAGCAGCAGAAGCCACACGGAGAAAGACAACGATTGGCCGTGCCGCTGCAGGCTCGGGCGAAGGCCAATGTCGGCCTGGCAGCGCCGCCGCCGACTAACGCGACAAGAGGGCATCGGAGGTCTGCTTTGTCCCTTGGCGTTTCTTCAACAAATTCTCATAGTCGATCGGGTTCAGTACAATGGTCACAGGCTACCGGTAGCGGCGGGGATTGGCGGCCGGGCCACGCACACAAGCGATCACTGTCTATTGTATCGATTGGGTCGGCGAATAATGCAGAGGAGCATGCTCAGCGGAATGAAACCCCGTCAAGGCCCCATCGGCCGCATCGAGGTCACAGTCGTGCGGCGAGTTTACAAATTTCAGCACAAGGCGCGACCTCGCCGGGGCCGGGACCACAATCAGGTAAGCTGTTACGTTCAGGTATGCTGCGTGAATACAAGTTGGACTGATCGTGTGGCTAGCGCCGTTCTTCCCTCGACATATGAGCTCCCCGCTTTTCAATGCATCATATCCTCCTGATCGATTTGGGAGGCTATCTGGGGCTTCTACTGCGCCGAATACGCCCGGGCTGGGTGGCCAAAGAAGAGCGCCAAAATCACCAGCGAGACGAGAAATGCCAAACTTTCGATTCCCTGCAGCTCCTTCAACCGGAAATGCGGAGGCTTCTAGTCCGAATCTCAAAACTCCTGATGGACTTCTTAGTCCGAGGCAAGTTGGTCCTCACGACAATAACAGCTTGGCCGTGCGGTTAAAGGAGCAACCGCAACCGCCAAGCGCTGTGGACCGACCAGCGGCAAGGATTCTGGCGAGCAATACGGTTCCCGGGGGCACACCGCGGAGCAGTGGAGAGTTTTATTCCATGAGCAACAACTCTTCAGAAACTCTGGTATCTGAATATGTGACGCAGCCGCTAGCACGGGGTAATGGCCGTTCACCACACGCCAGACGGAGCTCTGGCATGTCGCCGCAGCAGCAGAAAATACCAGAGTCATTAATGATGGGTTATGCCCAAATCCAAGGGTCCTTCATTTTGGATGGTTCCCTGATTAGTCTTGGTCCTTTTGAGCAAGTCAAGAAGAAGGGTGCAGTAGGCGGACGAGGTGGCGGTGTTGTCGGCCTCGAGCAAACGAAACGGGACACCGGCTTTTTAGGAAGTTTTGGCTGGGGCAATATTAGCACTTCCCTGGGTTTCCTCGGCGGGGAAGAGTTGAGCACAATCAAAGAGATTCGCGGAGCTGTCAATTCTAAATCTATCCCCTTGCTTAGCACGCCTCAGTCTATCCTGTTCGTCGACTTACAACTGGCCCCGGGAGAGAGCCGGTCATACGAGTATACCTTCCGGCTGCCAAAGGGTTTACCCCCAAGTCACAAAGGCAAAACAATAAAGATATCATACAGCCTGGTCATTGGCACGCAGAGAGCCGGAGGTGCCAAGGAGCAACAAGTCAAGTCTGTCGAGATTCCATTTCGAGTATTGGGCAGTGTCAACAGCCATGGTGAAATTCTTGGTCACGATCTCATGAGCCCGTATATACTGCTTCGAGATGGGGCGGAGGTCAAGAGCCTCGGCAAGCATACTAGAATGCATAAATCAAGGGCCTCATTTGGTCCTCCAGCAACAATGAACGAATTTCTCAACTACGTGGATGACTTGGCTTCTAGGCGGCGAGAGTCAACGGGAAATGCATTGCTGTCCCCAACAGAGTCGACTGCCCAAAGACGTCCATCGACATACGAGGAAGTCGGTATGGCCAAAGAAGCCATCCATCTTGCCATCATGAGAAGTAACATGGCCGGAGACGGCCAACAAAGCGCCAATCGTTTTGAAATCGCACGCAATGGCCAACGAGTTGGCGTAGTAATGCTCACCCGGCCGGCGTACCGCCTAGGCGAAGTTGTTACCATGGCCATCGACTTCACCGACGCCGATATACCATGCTACGCAGTTCACGCAACACTTGAAACATCAGAAAAGGTAGACTCCTCACTGGCCATCCGCTCCGAGTCAAGTCTACAACGAGTTACGCGGAAAGTGTATGTTGCCTCTTCTGAAGCAGCCATGTACTCGCGCCGCGTCGTCTTCACGCCAACAATTCCCATCTCCGCTACCCCAGAATTCGTCACCACAGGTGTCAATCTCGAGTGGAAGATCCGCGTGGAATTCGTGGTCCCCTACCAGGGGTCGGATACAACTCAGCTTGGGGAGCTGCAGGTTCCTCACCCGCTGCTGGAGCAGATTTCGCGGGATGAAAAGGGTGGGCTCGTGCTTGTGGCAATAGAGAATCTGGCATGTGAGAGCTTTGATATTTCGGTGCCATTGAGAGTGTATGGGGCTGTGGGGAGTGGGTTGGAAAGGCTGGAGAGGGATGAAGCTTCTGAGGAGGGGTTGGTGGTGTAAATGATGGGAGGTATTATAAGTTCTGGATAGCGAGTACATGGCTAATAGGTATATACACACATATATATATCGGTGCGTGATGTTGAGTCTTGATTTGCGATGCTTTGGTGATGAAAGACGGAGCTTCACCATAAGGACACGTTGAATGAAATGAACCCCGAAGATGCGTGCTTGTACTCCGTCGAAGAAAGCAGGATTGCGTCGACATCCGGATAAATGAAATTAGAACATGAGCATTGCAGCGCAGTGTTATGGACCATGGAGTACAGAGTAACCTGCAAAACTACATTACGAGGTTGTATCCGTTGGCTTATACGCGCCAAGCTACCACGACTTGTGCTACAGCCATCCCTACATGCTAGATAGATGTCATTCGCGACATCTGACGTGTCTTGGGGACGCTGGCTGCACAGAAATGATTACGCTCTCTCATCCAGATGCGCAAATCTCACCTCATCACGGCATTCTAGGCAAGCCATGTCGGCGACAAAGCCACTGTAACGCTGGGCTTTTTGGTAACACCAATAGTTGGTCGCTTCAATGTTCTCAACTATCAATAGCATCGTTCAAATCTCGCACGACGCCCGCCCACAGAGACGCGAAACCCCCCCCTTTCCCCAGGAATCTCAACCAATCATTCTGTTACAGAAACAGGAAAGGTAGTAGTGCTGATTTAAATTAACGACATTGACATTGCCTTTTGCGACCCCGGTCCGTTGATGAGCGGTTCACCAAAGGGGGATGTGACAGGGCCGGGGTGTCTTCGGTATGACCTGGCTGCGCATCCTCATGTGCTCTTGTGTGCACGGGCGGCGGCGGCGGCAGAGCTAATTTAGATTTGCGCGTGGAGTTTGGGCGCTGGAGATATTTTGGGCTGTTGCTTTCGTGGAGGTTTGGCGGGCGCCGATTCAGGAGGTGGGCGGTTTTGTGTTTTCGATTTGTGAGGGCGTTTAAACATGCAAGGGGTGTGGGTTGAACATGTTGGATCGCCAATTGTGTATCCTTTTGAGAAAGCGGGAGAAAGGTGGAAGCATTTTGCATGATTGTTGCATCGAGATGATGAACAGTTGGTATAGTACGCCCGTGGTTGCTCAGTCAGTACGCCGTACGGAGAATTGATGGACTACGGAGTAGCTTGTAAGCAGATGCTGGTGGACAACATGATGTTTAAAATTATCCAGCAGCGAAGAAGTTTGTACATACACAGCCCATGGCACCATGGACAATGCCAATAATATTGCCCCGTGCGGAGAATGGACTACAGCCAACGTGTGCCCATTGTCCAATTCTCCAATGACGATGCTCACGACATCAATCTCGGTGCGGTGGCCCGGCAACAGGGGCAATGGCGACCCAGGCTAACTCGACGGTTATGATGCTTGATTGGCCCTCGGCTCGCAGAAGCGGGGAACAGCAGTCCACTTTGGGCCATTGGGTGTGGAATATTGTACAATATTGACATCTCGCTCGTCAGACCAACAGCTTGTCCCTGTCCGTGACGACAATCAAATCCATCTTTTTAGCTGGTGTTCTGGGGTCCTCTCTTCCCCCTCTGGCTCCCATCAGCCCTGGCCCAATGCGGGTCCCTGGCCTCCAGGTACTGCAGCTCCAGATAGTATCCTATGAGCTCTGACCATTCGACCTTGCTGTGCAGTGCCGTGACCAAAACAAATCGGGCAGGCGTTGCAGCTGCAGCTGCAGGTCAGGCAATTGCCCAGTCCGCTTAAACGTGACTTGGCTCGGCTTTTTTCTCTCTCTTCTCTCCCTTCATTATTTACATCTGGTCTGGTAAGCTTGAGAAGTGGCAATTAGTGCCACGTCTTCATCGTCCTCTCTTTTATTCGGTTTTTTTTTTTTTTTAGTTTCTAATTTTTCGGCGTTAGGCGCCCACACCACAATCGTTGTGAGTTTTGAGCTTCATTTCAATGGTCAAGCCGTTGCCGTTGTCCAGTCGACAGAGCAAGACTAGACTTTGGCGCGAGCTGCAATATGCCCAACGTTGGCTGACAGGAAAGACCGACTTAGGTATTCTGTACACTCGCTCGGCAATTTTCTCCTCCTCGGCAAGTCTTGTTGCCAATTCGAGTGCGCAGGTGCCCTCAAGCCTGATACTCCTACCGCTCCTATGAGTGCTGCTCGTCGACCTGGACCGCCGCCCCCCCAGCTTTCGCTTCTTTTCGTGTGACTGGAGCGGAGATTGCTAGACATTGACTTACACCGCCGCTCTCCTCGCTCGCCTTCGTCTATGGTAAAAAGTACACATACATGCGCACCACTGCCAATTTTTACCGCCGGTCGATTTTCTATCGAACAAAAGAAGCATACCCCAGTTACACCGAGAATTGCCTAGAATAGCATCTTGTACGCTGCTTTTCTGCGACATCACCAAAGAACGCTCCCTGGGCCTTGTCTCGCCTGTCCCCGGTGGCTTTGCTTGAGTGCCTGCTGCTGCTCAGCTAACCCATCAGGAGGTCCCTTTTGTTTGACGAGACCCTTGGTCCTCCTGTATTCCTAAACAGCAGCTGCGCGGGTGACTCTTGAAAGAGTCAATGGCGAAGAGATGGCTGCGACTGTTACTCCCTCCAACAACCGGTTGAAGCTGACTCCGTCTAACTCACCATTTCTATCGAGGCCGTCCAGATCCCTGATGCGTGGTCGTTCGATGCACGAGCCGCGGCTCTCTCTTAGGAGGGTCGTCGGCACCACTTGTCGCTCCCCGACGGGCTTTGATACTGTCAATTCCTCCTTTGCCTACATTGCTGGGGGTGCCGTTGTGGTCGTCGATGTCGACGGCCAGCTTTATTCACAGCGTTTCTACAGAGCTCGTCCTACAGCTGTGCCCATGTATTCAGTATCAAGTTCGCAGAATGCTCCTTCAACTCCGATTGTAACGACGCCTAAAGCCAATGACAGCCGCAATCGAGTGGCTCTAAACTGCAGGGATTCGGGATGCAGCCCGGTGGACTGGGCGACTGATCCGCCGAGCGGTTCCAGAACGTGGACAAGCCGGGAGAGGATCAAAGCTGCTACGTGCCTAGCTTTGAGTCCGGATGGCAGGTATCTGGCAGTGGGTGAGACTGGATATGCCCCCCGAGTCTTGATTTTCAGCCTTCTGGACGCGTCGTCGGACACGCCGCTAGTCTCTATCAGCGAGCATGCGTTTGGGGTCACGGCGGTCGCTTGGTCTGAAGATTCCAAATACCTTGCGTCGCTCGGCGCCGCCAACGATGGCTTCCTCTTCGTCTGGAAGATTGACCCACGAACTGGAGCTGCCAAGCTCTTTCGGCAAAACAGATGCACCTCATTTGTCAAAGACATGGTTTGGATTGGTAACAGTCTCATTACCTTGGGTGTGCGCCACGTCAAGGCGTGGAAAATTGAGGATGGAACCTCTGTCTCGCCGACCAAGTCCAAGTTTTCGGGTGATGCGACGCCATCCACCCCAACATCACAAAAGACCTTGCCTGGCCGAAATATGCTTTTGGGCAGCTTGTTGGACGCCACTTTTAGTTGTGCTGCCGTTGACGGCAAGAGTCTTATTCTCTGCACAGAGGCTGGTGATGTCTGCATCCTCGATGATGACGATAGGCAGATGAAATTGACAAAAGTCTTGAACCTGGAGTTCACCATCACAACAATCACAATTCGTAACAACGTTGCATATGTTGGCGGCAAAGATGGCCATTTTGCAACACTTGATGTTGAAGGCGTCATGGATGGCTGCGCAGCGAGTGTTTTGACGACCAGCCAAACATCGGCTGGTGTTGTCGCTCTCGGTTTTCTTCCGCATAAGTTGGTGACCATTGATTCAAAGCAGTCAATTGATATTTGGAATCCCGACTATTTACCCGGACAACCTGTCGAAGCTGTCGCTCATATCCCGATTCCTGGGCATGGAGAACCCATCATCGGCGTTCATTCGTTGTATCGACCGAACAAGGCAAACGCTGCCTTTGTCACCTGGTCTGCGTCAGGCAACGTAACGTTTTGGGATGTAGATGGACAGGTCAAGCTGACTCTCGATGTCCCTGTCGACAATTCAGATTCAGACAATGAGCTCGCTTTGCCAAACCAGCTCACGAGCGCCCGCACCACAAAGAGTGGAAAGCTACTAGTTACAGCGGATCGTCAGGGAATCGTGAAAGTCGTCGACGTAGATTCCAAGGACTACCTTTTGGATATCAAGGCACATTCATCAGACTGTCTTTGCATCAGTATATATGACGAGGAGTCGAAGTTTCTTATGGCCTGCTGCGGCAGAGACCGGACTGCCCAGTTATTTCACCGACTCTCCACCGGTCGGATTGAGCATTTCCAGACTCTTGAGTTTGCTGCAAAGGTTATCCAGGTGCTCATCCCGGCAGATGACAAAGTCATCACGTGTTCACTTGACCGTACGTTGCAGGTACACGACATCGTCTCCCGAGAGGGAGAGCCTGATATTATTGCAGCCATTCCCTCCAAGGTTATTTCTTTAAAATCATCACCTACTTCAATGACCATGGGTTCAGACAACAGGACTATTTTTGTTTCTTCTTTGGATCGGTCCATTTACCAATACGACTTGGCAAGTGGTAGACAAATTTTCTATTTTAAATGCATGGATGAGGGCGGTGTAGAAGCCGCCGTTTTGGATTCCTTGTTTGTAGGCCAGTGGCCCACTAAGGACCTTGACTTTTTGCTGGGGTCATCAAATACTGATAAATCCATACGACTCTATGACGCCAATTCAGGCTCATTTTTGGACAGAGAATGGGGTCACACAGAAGCAATCAACGGCGTCTCTCTAGTCGAAGATGACGACGGCACGAGGAAAGTTGTCAGCGTGGGTTCGGATGGAACGATTATGGTTTGGACGCTGGATCTAAACGATCCTTCACCGAGGTCGATGAGTAGGGATCCATCGCCGGTGAAGGAGGGAAACAACAATAGTAGTCGACCGACGTTGCGAAAGGTTTTATCTAAGGCGGAGCTGGCCGAATTTCAACGTCCGTCACCATCGCCAGCGGGACGTCGGTCACCTCCACGATCATTGCGCCGCCGAACATCTCGACTCAATCTTGGAACCGCCCCCTCAGTAAATCGAACACCGGTTGGAAACCTGGCAACCAGCCCAAGTGACAGCGCCATCAGTGAAGACACCCCATCAAGGAGAAGGCCATCGGAGATTAACAGGGGTGACAGTCCTCCTGCCAGCCCAAAGTCGAGGGTTAGTAGAAGGCCCTCCATGCCAGTTTTGTCCGCTGTTGCCAAGAGGAAGTCTTCGTCAAATCTTCGCGGGGGCGGCTCTTTGAATATGGCAACAGAGCAGGCTTGCCGCACTCTGCGTGCATACAGAAAGAAGCTGTCGTCTGCTGAGCCTATTACTGCTGAAGGCTTGACGGAACTGGATCAAGAATTGCGTCTCACAGCTGCTGCGCTTGGTGATCGCGCCATCAGAAGCAAAGCTATGAACGAGACAGTACTCAGCGGCCTTTTAGACCAGTACTCGGAGAGGCTGGTTACTTTATTGGATGAAAAATTGCGGCTTACCAACCAGCTCCCCAAGGATCGGGAAATTGAGACCACCAGCAGTGACGATCGACCTCGCAGTGCGGATGGCTCGTCAAGCTCCTCGTCTCCATAACATTCATTTCGTTTCATGTGTTATCAACGAAATACTTGTTTCTCCTATATTGAGCGTTTGAGGGAGGTATCGCACTACTGTCCGTTTGCCTCGACATGGGACAACGGCGTTTTAGGTTGCAAATTTATTATATGGAGGGGAGCAGAGCTAGCTGAAGGAAATCAGAACCGATGCTCTTGACATCACTTTTTTTATAGTGATATGATACCACTGGGATTGGCGTTATACGGGTTTTAGCATAAACACTCGGGATAGGCTCAACCCGAAGATTAGGGAATAGTACTCTTCGGAGGCATTACTACGATTTTCTGACATGACACATTTAGTTGGCAGTTGGTGAAGATTTGTGACAATGTACTGTTCTTTCCCAATGTCGCGGCCAATTCTGCACGCAATGTGCATTGATCCCTTAACCACGGTTGGTGTAGGCGGTCAGGGGTGTCACGTGACCTTGGCCGTTTTGTCTTGTTTTCCGCTTGGGCCGTTGATTCCATCTCCTACCTACTCCGTACAAACGCTCGTACAACACCAGAGAAATTCGAGGTCAGCAGTATCACGTGATTTTTGGACTGCCGGTCGCAACTAGGAAAAAAAAGCACACTACGGCAAGCAGAGAAAAACGCCATCGCAAGAAAAAGCCTCAAAGCGCGTGAAAACTCCATGCAATTGCCGATTGGACGCTGTTAAAGCTTTGTTGTCGCTCAACACGGTCGTCAACACGTGTATTTCTACGAATCCGACCACTGAGTGCATGACGTATGTGCGTCCCCTGAGCACGCTTCTTCCAGATGGCAAGTAGTCGAGGCGCGGGCAAGAGCTAACCTTTGGATGCAAACTCTTTACAGATCCTGGCGCCGATTCATCTTGCTGCGAAGCGCGAAGGTCCTCTCGGTCACTGGCGAGGTGGACCGCGGGGCATGAATCATCCGACCGCTTATACGCCCCTCGAGTCGCTCTTCCTTTTCCAGTCGCTACTAACACACGGGGCCGACACGGGAGCGTTTGTTCGGATTTCAGAGCTACTTAGGAACAATGCGCTCGTCAAGAGCGACAAGTCGTTTGATGCGGCGCGGTTAGCTCCTGATGCGCTGCAGCAGTTGTTCTTGCTGCTGTTGCGAGAGGAGGTGAAGAGCGGGACCGGTTCGACGACGACAACGACAAATGCTACGACAGCAACGGCGGGTCCGGGTACAAATACAGCAGATACATCGACTTCACCGGCGTCACGGAAGAGAAAACTGGGCAGTCCGCCGTTGCCGTCGCTAAAAGACGCCTATGAGCACATCGAAAAGGTCCCGGCCTTGGTGGATCGACTATATGCTAGATATCGGGATACCATCGTAAAGGAAATCAGGGAAGATGAAGAAAAGTTTGCAACCGTTCAGAAACATATTCAATTTCTTGAAAAGAACGAGAAGGAGAGATTAGCAAAAGCTGCGGCGAGCCAGAATGGCCCATCGATGTTGGCTCCTCGGGACGGACGTCCGATTCCTGGTCCATCGCCAACTCCCACCCCTGGGCAAGCTGGCGGCGTTAAGAGACCTGTGTCTACCACACCAGTTTATCCACCGAGACCTCCTTCAACCTCGACTACGCAACCAACAATTGCAGCGCCGAGTCACTTGCAGACGGGGGGCACGACACCAGTCCGGCCGCCGCAGCCTTCGCCAAAACCTCCGACCACCACCGGATCAGGACTCCAGGCACCGGCCGGAATGCCCCAGCCTGGGTCCAGAGTTCTGCAACCGCCTGGCCAGCCTCCGAAGCCGACACTCTCACCACGTCCAGACGCTGCTGTCGCTCTCAAGCCGAAGGAGGCCACACCTGCGGCGGGAGGGCAAGCGACAACCACGGGGACTTTGAAATGGGAGAAACCATATCAACCCCCGATACCTCAAACTCCTGGAACAGCGGGACAGACTCAGCCTTTGGCTCCCGCCAATGCGACGGCCGGGGCTTCAAAGGAACCGCAGCAGCAGCCGCGGTCTCCACAACAACAAGGACAGTATGCTGGCCAAGTGCCACCTCCGGCTGTGGTTGCCCAGGGTCGACCTATTCCAGGAAAACAGGTCCTCGTGGCCCCCCAGAATGCCGGGCAACTCTCCACTCCGTTACAGTCAGCCCCCCCGAGGCCAGGTGGAGTTTCTGCATCACAAGGTCAACTACCACAACAACATCCTCGACCGATCTCGACAACACCCGTCATTCCACCTAGCCGACCTCTCCCACCTCAGCAGGCACAACAAGCTCAACAAGCACCGAGACCGATTGCAGCAGCCTCACAAACACCGCAAAAGGGTGTCACTGGGCCCATCGCAGCTTCTCAAAAGTGGACGCCAGCCCAAGCTGCACAACAGCAGCAAACACAACGGCCGTCACCCTCGGCGTCCCCCGCCCCGTTGGCGCAGAAGGACAAGGCGTATGCCTCTCCTTATAATACCCAACCGCTACGACCAGCCATTCCGGAACACATTATTCGACAAGCAGCTGTAGCACAGGCTGCCGCTGCCGCTGCCACGCCAAACGCCAAGAAGATCAGCCCGGTCACGGCTGCTCCAAGTACGCCTGGTGCCACCACTCCAATAGCTGCGCTCACCCGCGGGTTTGGCACCAAATGGGCATCTCATTCTACTCCTTCTACACCACGACCTATTACAGCTGAACCGGAGAGCCCGGCATATGAGCCAGTCAGCCCGCCACCTCGTGATGCCTCGATACTGTCTGATACGCCAAGGTCTAGTTCAAAGAGAGACTTCACCAAGGGCGGCTTGAAAGCAGATGCTGCCAAGGCGAGGAGCCGGCCACCCAGAGCCTCGCATGGAGGGCGTGGAATGAGCACCACTCCATCAGTTAGTGGGACCAGGAGAAGCCAGTCCGTTGCTTCGCAAGCCGATGAGCTTGCCATGGACCATCCAATCAGCTCCACAAAGGTTAAGCATGAAGTTCTCACCCCGCGGCACATTGAGGAAACGGGCGATACCACGGCAGACGAAAGTGTCCATGGTCGAACGAACATGGCAACTCCTGGCAGTGTCTCGTCGAGACTTGCCAAACGGAAAAGACAAGACTCACCATCTGTGCCTGCTGCACCTCCGACACAGGTTTTGTGGACTCGCGGTTTCACCAAGGTATCTTCCTCGGCTCTCGACCAGATCTCAAGCCACCGCGACGCCAACATGTTCGCTACCGGTGTCCGCGAGAGGGACGCCCCAAACTACCGGCAAATTGTACTGCAGCCCCAGGATATCACATCAATACGGTCTGCCATTAAGCAGGGGAACAAGGCTGCCTTGCAAGCAGCAAGCAGCCTTCCTGGTGGCGATCCTGGCACGGCAAGTGTCTGGCTTCCGATATCTGAAGATCTCATCCCCCCCAAGGGTATCATCAACTCTGCCCAGCTCGAACGCGAGCTGGTGCACATGTTCTGCAATGCCATCATGTATAACCCCGACCCTGACCGAGGTCCTGGTCCTGCATTCCTGAAACGTTCCCAAGACGAGGAGGAGGAAGTTGTAGGCTATCGCGTTGACGAGAACGGCGTCGTCAAGAATACACGGAGCATGTTTGTGGAAGTCGAGAAACTCCTTGGCGATCTTCGTAGCGCGGAGAAGGACCGCGGTGTACCACCGCCTTCTGCCACTCGTCAAACAAGTGTTGCGACGCCCGCAGATGACACCGCCGAGGATGAGGATGAACTAGCCGGAGATGGGAACACTGCGACCAGCGTCGTGAAAAGAAGACGGATTACGACGAGGAACTAGGACTCCTGAAGAGTTTGCAAGACGCCTCTCCTTGGTGAGAATGAATCCCACATCAAATGCGGGCCAGTTTGACGACCGAGAGTGGACTGTTTGATTATTGTAGAGCGTTTGCATGGGCCGGTTATATTGGTGCCTTTTGGGTCTTTGGAATTTGGGATGTGGATAGCGTGTAGGATGGCATACTTGACGTTCAAAATAATTTCCTCTCGCCTTCCCCTTCATTTTTCTTTCACCGCATTCTCACGCAATTGTGTTCAGTCCAATGCACGTCCAACCACTTGCATGCGGCTGATGCATGTCACACGTGATGAATTGCAACGCTCACCAACTCACTCACTCACACAAAAGTGACTGCCCCCAGAACCCAACCTCATTAGGTTCCACGACACCCTTTAATTCCAATATCCACCCTCACCGAGGCCCATCTCTCAAAGGGAAGAAAAATACAATAAAGGGAGAAGAACAAAATGGTTGCAGAAGACGACGCATCCAGCACCAAAACCGCCTGTCCTACAGCACTCATCGCCAACGTCCTCATCCTGCCTGACGGTGAGCAGCCCGTCCACGTCGAACTATCAAATTGGGACCAGATAGACGACTTCCTCACCCGCGATCATGACGAGCACCCCGGCCAGTGGAAGATGTTTATCCTAAACGGCCTGCATACAAAGCTGGCGTCCGAGCTGGCCGTGCGGCTGGATATTGACCCCGGGTTTTTCGACAGCCACGTCTACAGAACGAGGTACATCCCTCCGCGGCGGGAGGCCACGCGAAAAGAAGGGGCCAAGGAGCAGAACCAAAGCAAAGCAGCCACAGACGCCGGCGTCCACTTCTTCCAGCTCGACTTCCCGCAGGTGGAAGAGCTCTCCGTCCCCGCGGCGATCCAGACGTCGCGGAGCTCAGAGATTCCGCTCCTGGAGACGCGGTGGATGCTCGAGGAGAACGTGCTCAGCCTGGCGCCGGACGCGAGGAAGGCGTACCTCTTGGACGGGACGCTGTACCGCTGGGACGGCGTGCTTGTGGGCGTATTTGGGTACTGGAGGAGGATGTCGTGGTGGAGTTGCGAGCGGGAGAAGACATGTATGTCCTCTTTTTCTTTTTTTCCTTTTTTTGCAAATTTCCAAGACAGACAAATGGATGCTAATCGCCACGGACACCAGCCGTCATGGTTATAGACGGGCCGCTGGAGGCGATTCTCCCGCCACACGTGTCGCCCGCGCAGCTCGCGACGCAGCCGTTCAGGAACAGCATCAGGCGCAAGGACGCCAACGCCGTCGAGGCCCTCGACAGCCTGT